GGGGGCTGAGGTCCTCTCGGTGCAGAATTCAGAAACCATTAAAGGCTTAAGACAGTCTGCTCACTAAGACCCAAGACGCTCTTTTATGTAATGCCATGACATCTGTCCACAGCATAAACGAGAAAGATGTGACGCAGTTCTGCTAGGAAAGACTTCTTTACTTTGTTTTCGACTTTTTCGAATATGCCTTTATGAATTATTTCCGACAGTTGTTTTCCTTTTATTGGTTTATCGGGAAGGGGCAATTGGGAGAGCGAGGCGGTTTTGATAGGAAAGGGGGGTTGAGAGATTTTACTGTTCTTGTTTTCTATGGTCTGGCAAAACATTTTGTGTGTGCTTGAGTGCCTTTGCTTGTTTGTTTGTTGGTTTATTTGTTTGCTTGTTTGTTTGTGTTAGAGAGAGAGACAAACAGACAGACACACAGGCAGACAGACACACAGACAGACAGACTGACAGAGGGAGAGCGAGAGAGAGAAAGAGAGAACGAGAGAGACAGAGAGAAAAAGAGAGGGAGGCAGGAAGATAGATAGATAGATAGATAGATAGATAGATAGATAGATAGATAGATAGATAGACAGATAGATAGGTTCCACTCACTGGGATTTTTTAATAGTGTTTATTGAAGAATTTTTAAAGAAAAATACCTATATGTGTTTACAAAAATGCTGATGTATTAAGACTGATGCATGCCATTGTGAAAAAATTGGAGAGTCTATGATCGATAGTTGTGGAACTATTTGACTACTATAAGCTGCACCACCTATTGTTGACCACACTGTCTTTGACTGTAGTAAATGCACTCCACTAATGTCCTTGCGTCATGATAGCCTGCCATTATACTACGTAGTCTGTTTTAATTGGGGGACTTTCCGGTTTTCGACGAAGAAGGATTTTTTTTAACATTGTTTCCTCCTCATAGACGAACTTTATTTTTGTTTTAGAATTATTATGGGATGAGTTCGTGGCCCCACTGACAGGGCTCCTATCTTTATCACCCCTTTGTTGATTCTATCTGCACGTCATTCTTTGTCTCCAGCAAACAACAATCGTTTTTGAATCTCTCAAACGCATGCCTTTATCTTCTGATTTAATTTTTTTTTTTTATAATAACAACAACTACAACAACTGACGGCACGCTTCTACTTTAACTACATCATCGAAGACGTTCCTTTAAATTTTGTATCGAAATACGGTGTTTTTCTGAATGTAGATTGATTCTGTACAAGAAACTTTGTCTGACATTTATTTGTCTGACAGACAGGTGGAACATTTTTCCTACAACACATTGACATGCTCCATCAGGGACAGACGGGCAGATCAGCAAATCAACAGAGAGATCGACATACCGACAGACAAACACTATTACATCAC